GCTCATATACTAAAATCTATATATAGTTGGAATTTGGATAAAACTTTAAAAACATTTGTGGTTGACATTTCTTTTGATCTTTTTTCAAATCGCTAAAAGCGCGTATACAGTCGTGTGCGTTAAGTACATTAAATAAATTTGACCACTCAGCAGCAATTTCATTGCCAGCATATATTGATCGGATCACAGGTAAAATAACAGATTATCATGGCCTACTGTAATCCATGTCAGGGTTTTCTTTTAAAGTGCTGTTAGCTTTTATTCCGAAGTCTGTACTTCGTACTTTGAAACTCGATGCTGGTTTTACACAAGCTGTATACACTCTGTTAGTAAAATGTCGTATTGTATAAATCTAATATCTTTGGAACAAGTAACCTTATTCTATATAAAAATATCTAACAAAATACGTTTTTCTTTAATTTTCACTTGAAAAACATTCAACATTCGTGCATATACAGGTGTAGACATGAAGGCTAACAGGCTCTAATCGACCACTGGGACAAAATGCCTGATTACAGTTTTTCCGATCCAGACACCACAAAAACGGTATATCGTATATTTGGGCAAAATATGCCTGACAGTTGCTTATTTTTCAGCCCATTAGCTCCCATGTCCGCCAAGCTAAACCTACCCTGCGTACACTCTCACAGGCAACGGAGTGGCAATGGTGATTTCAGGTACCACCTTCTCGTCTTCTGGGAGTGATGGTGACACCACCATCTCTTCCTTCAAACAAGCCGACTCCAAGTGCTTGTTGAGGTAAGACTTGAGTGCAAAGGTTTTGTGACACCTCGGGCACTCGAAATTCTTATCTGCTGAGTGCGTCTGCATATGAGCGCGAAGATTGGATCTGGAAGAGAAGTATATTTGTATTTCTCGTTTGCAGCATCACAAAACCCAGGATGCTTCAAACTCGACCCTCAGCATTGGTATCTCGACGACTGTAACGAATACGAAGTCGCTTAAATGGGGGCGCTTAGAAAGTTTCGAAATACAAAGTACTTCCAAAGAGAAATGGAAAAAACGAATTTTACCAAAATAGTTTTTAGTTTTTCCTGACTTTATTTGTTGTGGGATTCCAAAAATAAATTGCACATTAACATTTCCACATTTTATCCTCTGCAAGATGGCTTAATTAGAATTTCAATATGACGTTTCGTCTCTTGTTCTCCAGCATTAACTTTTTTTAGAGTTTTCATTTCTGACTCCAACAATGTAAATATAATACGTCATACATTTACATTGTCAAACCTTAGTTAATTCAAAACAGGATTTATCACAGGATCACTTTTATTTTCTCTGAACTTTATTTAAGATGGGGTTCCAAAATAAATTGCATGCAACTTCGCCACTTGTTCTCTTCTACAAGTCGGCATAATTAGAATTTCGTTTCTTGTCCTCCAACATTTTGAAAATCTGCCTGACTTACCTCAGCTTATTTATTATTATTATTATTACCACCAATAAAATTTGCATTTTGTTCAGGTTTCACCATACCTTTTTATTTCCTTAAAATTTTGATCCAATAACAAATTCATAGCCAACTAAGGCAATAATACATCGCTGAATTTAGGGCTGAAAGGTCCATTTAAATGTACAAAAACATACAATATGATAGAAATTATGATACCACCCTCGTATATTTAGTAAATATCTTACTCTTCCTGTATATACACGGTATTTACCTTTCTTATGAGTTTTTGTTGATTATGGTGATAATGATATCTGCGTACACTTTCTCATATGGATGAGTAAATGTTCTTGTGTATCTTTCCATCATAATAAATTCCTTCAAGATACCGATTCATTAAAAATGCACATATTGTTAGAGATAAGATAACTAAATACTATAATAATTTTTGAAGTGGTTCGTCGCCCGTTTTATTTTTATACAGGGTGTTTCAGTTTATTGTTGCATAACTTTAAGATTCGATAGAACGTTTAAAATTAATGCATAAAGTCTATATAAACATGGGTCGAAAAATGCGTGGCTTCCGAAATACAGGGTGTTCAAATTTACTTTCTAAAATAGTTTTTTTTAAATATTTCGAACAATATTTGATGTATAACAGTGAAAATTGGTATACATGGGTTTTTTGGCACGACAAAACGAACCAAGGGCATAGTTTGACTGTAGCCGCTAGAGGGCGCTCTCTACTGTACCTGTAGTGTATTAAAATGAACGAAAATTTTCTCTTAGTGCAATTTTTTGCTTGTTTATATAAAAAAAAATGATTCTTCGCACTTTTCAACATAAAAAAGCTCTCTTGTGAATTTTCGTTATAGTTAGCCGTTTTTGAGATATTTCGATTTTTAAGGTTCGATGCATTTTTAATTATGTGATAAAATAACGTTCAAAAGTCAGTATCTCGATAATTTTTAGAAGTAGGCTGTGCCTGCAAATATCTTTGAAATTGAAAGCAGGATAAGGTTAAACGTCAATTAGCTGACAGACAGTTTTGTTGTCTGTTGAAACCTGAAACGTTTTTTTGCAATTGTGAATGCACGAATTTTAGTTTCTTTTATCTGTTTTTTTTTAAGTTTTATAAAAATGCCATTTTCATTCTCCAATCAAGAGTTAGCGGATATTCATTTTGTGTGTGGCTTTGTAAAAATGGAAACGCAGCAGAAGCAGCCAGAGAAAACGCACCAAGATTTCCAAACAGACGACATACAACTCGCTCAGTATTTGTAAGAGTGCATCGCCGAATAATTGAAAATGGTTTTGGAAATCTCCAAAGGGATCAAAACATAAATGTTCGTCAGCTCAGATTTACCCGTATGATTCTGTGTGAGTTTGATAGAGATCCGACCACAAGTGTTAGGAGAGTTTCTGGTGCCTTGGGAATTTCAGCAAGCCATGTTCACCGTGTTCTTAGAAATGACAATAGACGTCCTTACCATTTGCAACCTGTGCAAGGACTACAGCCAGGGGACGGAGAACGAAGAATCACATTTTGTCAGTGGATTCTTGATAGAACTGATAATAATAGGGAGTTTTTAAGTAACGTTTTATGGACCGATGAGTCATGCTTCACTAGAGTGCAGTGGTAAATTTTCATAATCAACATATTTGGTCGCATGAAAATCCGCATGCAGTTCGGGAAAGAAATTTGCAGCATGAATTTAGTGTAACTCTGTGGATTGGTATCTACCGTAATCGACTATTTGGACCCTACCTTTTGCCTGCAAGGTTAAATGCTGCGACCTTCTTGGAATTTTTAAAGGCTGAACATGCAAATATGTGGGATGATGTTATGTTACATTTAAGAAGATTGGCCTGATTCCAGCTTGATGGTTGTCTAGATCATTATTCGAGAATAGTCAGAAACTGGCTGGACGAAAATTATCCAGAAAGATGGATCGGCCGTGGAGGACCAGTCGCCTGGCCTCCACGATCCAATGACCTAATCCATTAGATTTCTTTGTGTGGGGATTTCTAAAAGAAAAAGTGTACCAGACTTCCGTAACCACAAGAGATATGCTAATAGACAGAATCAGGAATGCATGTGATGAAATAAGGCCTTATTTGAATAATGCTATACCACGTTCGATCATTCGTAGATGTGAATTGTGTATTGAACAATTGGGTTTACATTTCGAGCAACTACTTTAGATTTTGTATATTTGTCCTAACTATTCAATAGCATTTTAGTTGTGAATAATTAATTTAATTTGTTAAAAATAATATTGGAAAATTAAACAAATCAATATTCTGTTTTTTGGTGTTTATTTGGAGTCAGAAATTATTGCTGTGCTTAAAAACACAATCTAAACGATCATCTTAATTACTTGTAATGCCCAACTCGAAAATGTAAAAAAAAATATTATTTTACCATAAATAATTAAAAATGCATCGAACCTTAAAAATCGAAATATCTCAAAAACGGCTAACTATAACGAAAACTCACAGGAGAGCTTTTTTATGCAGAAAAGTGCGAGTAATCAGTTTTTTGTTCAAAAAGCAAAAAAGTGCACTGAGAAAAAATTTTCGGTCATTTTAATACACTACAGGTACAGTAGAGAGCGCCCTCTAGCGGCTACAGTAAAACTATGCCCATGGTTCGTTTTGTCGTACCAAAAAACCCTTGTATACCAATTTACACTGTTATACATCAAATATTGTAAGAAATATTTAAAAAAAAACTATTTTAGAAAGTAAATTTAAACACCCTGTATTTCGGAAGCCACGCATTTTTCGACCCATGTTTATATAGGCTTTATGCATTAATTTTAAATTTTCTATCGAATCTTAAAGTTATGCAACAATAAACTGAAACACCCTGTATATTGATGATGGAAGTCGAAAGAGGAAATGTCGAATTGAAGGTTTGACTAGGCTATCTTGTAGAGAGTATAGAGTAAATAACAATGACAGCATGCAATTTATTTTGAAATCCAATTTCAAATAAGGCCAGGAAAAAATGATTTTGGGATGAATCTGGTATGCGAAACATATGACTATCTGATAATTTCAAGGCCTACCAAGGAAATTCCGCTTTTTTGAAATAACTAATGTTTGGCAATGTCAATGTATGACATATTTGGAATCAGAATTCAAATCTCTATTTACACGAGTAAACATCCCATGTGACGCTCATAAGGTAAAATAAAATTGATGCTGGATGACAAGAGACGAAGCATCATATTGAAATTCCAATTATGCCGTCTTGTAAAGGAGAAATAATGGCCATGTTAATGTGCAACTTATTTTGAAATTGCATCACAAAGAAGTCATGAAGAAATTAAAACAATTGTGAGAAAATTCGGGTTTTTCCATCGGTATCCGGAAGTAATTAAAATTTTGAGACTTTCTAAGCTGCATTTTGTTAATAACCTAAATACGCAACTTTGCCACCACTTAAGCGACTTCGTATATTTTTCAGTTTCGGAGATCCCAATGGTCAGTTTCAAACTTGAAACACCCTATATATAAGTACTGTGATTGCTAGATTTTGCTAAGCAACAAGACACTTTGATATTAAAAAATACTTTGAGACTCACCTATCAGCAAAAGCCTTCCCGCAATGTGCGCAACCGTAAGGTTTCTCGCCTGTGTGTGACCTTAGATGACCTTGAAGTAACCATGGCCTTGAGAACTGCTTCCCGCACACACCACACCGATGCGCTAGCTTATGCGTCAGTACATGCATTGCTAACGCAGGCATGCTCACGTAAGCTTTTCCACATGTTATACACTTTTTCGCTGCCTGTAACGAAAAGAGAAATTCCGTAGATATTACAGGAGTCGGGGGATTGTCTATGTTGAATTATGAAGTACGTAGGTGGATCAAATATAAACGAACTCTTTCAGAAGAACATTTACTATTTAAAATGGATTTAACTGCAAATGTTTGTTGTTTTCCTATATACAGGGTGGCCCATCCATGTATGGACGGAATATTACTCATAAACGAATACATTTTGGGAAAATCAATTTATGGGACGTTATACATGACGTTTGAGGGCACATATTGACCATTATATATATCAAAGTTGTGATTTTTCAAATGAAATGCCTCAAACATGATTGCATGTTTGGATAAATCAATTCAAAAGAAGAAAATTGATGTAACATACTATGGGGTTTTGGTAATTTCCTACTGAGATATAAGGTGTTTTGTCTACTCCACTTCGGCAACCTCTCAGTCCGCCATTTTGAAATTTTGAGTGCTTCATTTCGTATCAAAAAAACTTACACACCTCAACTTCTATCTTATTTGTTACTTTTTCGAATTTTAATTTTTGTTCATACAGGTTGGTCAAAAACGCAAATTGTAGTTTTTCTCAAAAATTTCCAATGCATCACCCTGTATATTTCTGCAAGTATCGATTCAATTTTTTATAAGCTTTTTTTGATACTAGACACTTATGGGTTTTACGGCTGTTTTTTCGGTTATTGGCACGTCTTTTATGGAACGGCTTAATTCCCTAAAATATCGCATCATCCTTGGAAACAAATAAATTGTTGATTAGTTGCAAACTGTCAAAATTAGCTTTGTGCGCATTATAACAAAAACGTGCCTGAAAATGAATTTTTCTAAAGAAGAAATGGTGAGTATGGTGTTCGTTTTGGGCGAAGCCCAAAGAAACAATTTCCTAGCATCTCTCATTTATGACAAACGGTACCCTAATATGCGTCATCCAAGGCCGGAATGGAAAAATTTTTCCACACCACGAGAACGTTTTGAATCAAGTGGAGTAGTGCAATATAGTAAAAAATGTATAAATAATCCAAGTGTCACCAATGAGGAGAATCAGTTGGAGGTTCTATTAAAGTTGCAGGAAAATCCCCATTTAAGTGCACGGAAAATGGAGCAGAAACTGATATATGCAGAACTTCTGTCCAAAGGATTATTCACAAGCATAGGTACCATCTATCACCTATGCGTGCATCAAGGCCTTCGTCCTCAAGATTTCGCAACTCGGATGGAGTTTAGTAGAATAATGCTACATAAAGTGAGTGAAGACACTACTTTCCGGGATAAGGTTCTTTTTAGCGATGAGGCAACTTTTAACAGCATAGGCGTTGTCAACAGGTATAACATGCACTATTATGCGATGGAAAACCCTACTGGGTTGGGCAAATAGGTTTCCACAATAAATGGAGCTGGAATGTTTGGGGAGGAGTTATTGGCAGACAAGTTATCGGGCCTTTCTTTTTCGACAACAGATTAACAGGTACAGAATACTTGAATTTTTTGATCGAGCATTTGCCTTTGCTTTTGGAGGTATCAACCTGCAATCTTGGATGTATATGTACTTCCAACATGACGGCGCACCTGTGCATTGTCACAATCGTGTGGGTAACTATTTGGACACCTGGAGTAACAATCGTTGGATCGGTCATGATGGGCCTATATCTTGGCCTCCTAGATCACCCGATATGACACCGATGGACGTCTTTCTATGGGGCTGCGTTAAGCAAGAGATCTATAGACATCCACCATCTACCCCAGAAAATATGAAGGGAAGGATTGAGGATGTTTTTCTGAAAGTAAGGGAAGACATGCTGAGGGATGTGCAACGGTCATTTATCCAAAGACTACGGCTGATATTTTCGAACAGTTTTTGTAGATTAGGTCTTGAGTAGTGTTTGTTTCTGTTGTAGTTATAGTTGTTTTTCTCTATTACGCTTGAAGCTGGTTTATACTGTTCTGATTGTTATTAGTTTTTACGTCAAATCTGTACTCTTAGTGGCAATATGGAACTAGCCCACTGTTTGTCTTTTGTTTCCATGGATGATGTGCTTTTTTCCTTAATTTTGTTGTTCTATTAGAAGCTTAATAACTCAAAATCTAGTGATTTTATCTGAATCAAACCTTACACCAAAAAAAAGCTTACAAAAAATTGAATAAAAATTTGCACAAATATACAGGGTGATACGTTTGAAATTTTTGAGAAAAAGTACAATTTGCTTTTTGACCACCCTGTATGAGCAAAAATGAAGATTCGAAAAAAATAAGATAAATACTGAGGTGTGTAAGTTTTCAAAATGGAGGATTGGGGGGTTGCCGAAATGGGCGGCTTTTCTGGACAGAACACCTTACATCTCAGTAGCTAATTACGAAAACCCCATAGTATGTTATATCAATCTTCTTCTTTAGAATTGGTTTATCCAAATATGCAATAAAATTTGAGGCATTCTATTTAAAAAATCACAACTTTGATATGTAGGTCAAAATTGGGATACCATCTGTAATTGCCAATGTTTTAGAAATGGGCTCTCAAATGTCTTGTATAACATGCCATAAATAGATTTTCCCAAAATGTATTTGTTTCTGAGTAATATTCTGTCTACACATGGATGGGCCACCCTGTATACTCAATGACATCAGAAGTCTTACAACCAGAAAAATTAGTTTCTTTAACTTGATTTTTTGACAATGAGGTAGTCTTACATCAAGAATGAAACGATAACATTTTCACGAAATTTTATTGACAAGTAATAAGAAAAAAATTAATAATGTATTGGGCGATCCCGCAGCTGCATACACTCTTGTATACATCCAGGCATCGACAAAATGAGATGACGGATGTCTGGTTGTGGCACCTCACGCCAAGCAACTTGAACATCGTGGAATAGCTGTGGCAGAGTGTGTGGCGGATGGTGCAAGGTGGATAGCCTCCTCCCCATCATATGCCACACATGCTCGATGGGATTTAAATCCGGTGAAGGGGGTGACAACGGCAAGACATTAAAACCTGCTTCTTGCAGAAAGTCCGTAGTACGACGAGCAATATGGGAAAAAACAAGTCGAAGCAATTTTTTTTTTGAGTGTATCACTTCTAACGTCACTGAGTATAGCTACTTATCCTGATATTGTAACAATTTTTTGAAACAATCGGGATAACGAGTCTTATGAACGTCCAACGAACCAATTGTACATGAACTATTTCTTTCAAATCGCGTGTTGTGAGGTGCTGTGGAACAAGAGCTTCTCGGTGAGGTTTAAATGTATAGAGGTCAAAAAGCCTCAAGTGTCAATTGTAAGATGAACGGTCTATGGCAATTCAGTGCCTATCGGCCAATTTATCGATGTGTTAGCCTTCTTGTGTTTAATCTGGCATTGACATTACACTTATGGTGAGGTGCCGCAGCTCTTAAGGCAACAGTAATAGCTCTACCATTTCAAATGGTATTGACCGTGTCCAAAGTCCAAATTTTCCCAGCAGACAACCGCGAGTTTGCTTTCACCATTGTACTCTTGTCGATTTGTAGCTACCCTTCATTGAACGTTTCCAACGTAATGATTTGATAATAGACCCAAGTCTCATAACATAAATATGTACTTTTATTTATCGTTGATGCACTCAGTGCCGAGTTTCAGAAGCATTATCAGAAACTTGATAAAAATACGTTGTGTAAGCGCGGGATATACATTTTCTTGACCCTTGTGTATATTACTAATAACAATGACTTCTATGCTACTATTACGTTCTAGATGGGCCACTGTTCCTGTTACGAACACGGCTGACACACAATTGAGTAAGGCTCGTTTATAAATTACGTCGCCTACGTACTATTAACGATACCAGCGATCAGTACAGACTGGTAGTATCCACTTTACGTACGAACGATATAGTCCAAAAGAAATGGGCGGCTTTTTGTCGTGATACGAGTATTTTTATTCATTAACCCTTTGCGGCCGACTGGTCTTCTGGTAAGACTTCCAAGTCATAAATCAAATCCAAGCGAATAACCAAAATTTCTGTATTATGTACCGGGGTTATAATATGGTTTAAGATGACACACGGGTTGATGACGTCAGTTACTCGAATCGCTTGAACGCGTTGGTTTTAACCGCGGATTTGTTTCAAGTTGTTTATTTCAGAAAAGCGCGTATATAATTTCTGATTATTTTTATTATCAATTAATAATCGGTGCTTTTTCGTCTAGAACAGTGTATGGAAGGTTTAAAAAAACAAACCTTTCATAATATTAATGGGAGAAAGTTTTTTTTTTACAGAAAAATTCTTTTAATGATGGAACCATGGCTTTGTAGCTATGATAACCTTCAATTCTTTAAACTTGTCCGCATGTTAAAGAAAACATTTATTGATTTAGCAGAAATGATAGGCAAAGGAGATGAAAAAAGATATTAGCAAAACCGTATACAGGTGGACATTATCCAGTGAGTTTATATTGTCATATTTTGATATTCTTGACTACACATGATACTTGGTTAAGCATAGGAACAGGAACTATGGTGTATTTACATCGAAGATAGAATGGATGCGTGATTGCCAAAAGCAAGGACGGCGTACAGGGCCGCATTCAGGGCTACCTCCGAATGATGGACTACCACCAACGTGGTGTAAAACACAGATGACAGTATTTAACAGAAACTTAACAAATTACTCAAATACACTTAACAACAACAACAGCAACAACCATGCAAGGTGAATACGAAAACACGAGCACGCAGTGATACACGCGACGGACGGTGGCCTGAGTGCAACTCTGCCTGCCCTGCCCCTGCCCCGCGCATTATTCCGCCAGGCGACCGCTTGAAATTTAATGGCGAATTGACCAATAAGAGGCGTTGTCCCCACCTGTTACCGAGAGATCACGCGCTAACTGTTATTATTTACATCTCATCTTGAATTTGGATTCAGTTTAGATTTAAAGTGTCCCCAACAACAGTAATGAGTATATCTAATAAGG